AGTGGGAACTGTGCACTCCCATCTAACGCTTCTATACAGAATCCATTGACTTCCCTCCCCACTGTGCGCTGGGATCCAGTGCACCCTGAAATAGTAAATTCCGTCTCTTCACTTTGGACGTCGAAGAGATTGAAGAATGCTGACCTCGCTAATGATCTGGTGCTTTGCCCATCTAGGATTATATACATCTTCACGACTTTTTCTGGGTAAGTGGCAGGGTAGACTTTGGCTAGGCAGATTTTGTGGCATGTGCGAGATGTTGAAGAACCACCACATACTGAGGTGCATCTGACGCTTACATCTGTGGTAGTTTCTGGGTGCGCTTCGGCATNTTTAGGGTTAGGTTTGGGGGGCTTAGGGTAAGGTTTTCGCTTTATTTTTACATTTTTCGAACTTTTTCGTCGCGCTGTGATGACATCACAGCGCGCTTTTGTCGAGCGTGCTTTTGTCCTACGCGCTTTTGTGGTGGAACCATTTTACCAATGCATACATTTTTCAACCACATCCAATCTTTGCCTTCGTACTTCGAAGCAGTGGCCCTTGCAGAGTTTAATTATTAATGGCACGAAGTCTATGAAGAAGCAATATAAAATATTGTGTAAAATATAAATGCATAAATCCAAGTACATCTATGGCACCCAGTTTGTATAATGTTAAGGCAATGAACCAGAAATCAAGCGATTGCAAGTTTTAGTCCTGATATGGGCACGAATCCAGCAGGGTGACCTTGGACCTCTCTTTTTTTAGCCCTAGGAAGGAGAGGGCAAGGGCAAGCCACTTCCAAAACCAGTGGCAAGAAAACTGCCTGGACAACTGCCAGCAGTCAAGATTGATTTGAAGAGACACGTTAAAAATTCTACCTATACTGAGAACTCAGATTTTCACAAACTATCACTGATCAAGTAAGCCCAAGGGTTAAAGGGACGGAGTGTTTCTGAATTAAGCAGCTCTACTTTTAATTCTTTTAATAATAAAAGACTGAGGGCAAAAAAAGAAGGGAACAACAGAGAATGAGGTGGCTGGATGGAGTCACTGAAGCTGTAGGCATGAGCTTCAATGGACACCAGAGGATGGTAGAGGACAGGAAGGCCTGGAGGAACGTTGTCCATGGGTTTGCGATGGGTTGGACACGACTTCACAACTAACAACAATTACTTTTAATACCATCTAAAAAAGATTGCATCAAAAAATTGCAAACCGGAGACTTTACATACTGCAACTTAGTCACATATTTCTCAGTGCAAATGTAATATTTAAACTAGCCACAGCTTCCACAAAAAGTTCAGCATCTACCTTTGCTTCAGAAGTTTACACCTGATATAGCTACCAGTAAAAACTTCACACCCTCTACAAAGATCAAATAGTTCAGTGTATCACTGACCTTTGCTTTTAGACAAGCCTTTTCTGGAAAAAAAAATAGCTTTTGTGTGCCACAATTAGCAAATGCAAAGTGATTTCTACAGTCATTCACAAACAATCATACCATCAATGAATTCTTGAAGGATAAGTATCTGCAAGCAGAATTTTTAGAATCGGTTCTAACTGGGGATGGGGGGTGGGGGAGAGAGGGGATCCAGTCGGTCAGAGTCTATTGTTCAGGCAAAACTTAGTTGTCAAAAGAGGCACTTTAGAGCAGGGATTTTCAACCTTGGCAACTTTAAGACTTGTGGACTTCAACTCCCAGAGTTGCTGGCTGAGGAATTCTGGGAGTTGAAGTCCACAAGTCTTAAAGTTGCCAAGGTTGGAGACCACTGCTTTAGAGAAACTCCCCAACTGAACACACAAATGCTACAGAACAAGAGTATTTCTTCCCACAACCATAGTTCTCATTATAATGCTTCAAGAACTTTAATTTCACAGCCAACCTCTGCTCTGGATTATATCAGATGGACTTTGAACAGGAAAGGGATACTTAACCACGTTTTGCTGACAAACCTATGATAAGCAGCCAGGGGGGGGGAAAACAGCAGTAGAAACTAAGAGAATAACATGCTGTTAAGAACAGAGGGCTAAGCAATTTGAAAGCATCACTATGTAATTTACTGTACCTGAATTCTTTCCAATAACAAAGTTAATTCCCCAGAGAGTTTACAACGGGCGCCAAGGTTCAGTGGCAAATTCATGCATAACATTACTTCAACAAAGTGACTTGCCTTGTATTGGGTTAATAAGCATATCCAATCAATAATATTATTGCTTAAGCATGTGTGAACTCAGCCAATTGTGCTTAGTAAAACCCATGGTTTAAATAAATAATTGTGGTTTAATGATGTCTGAATGCACCCAATAGAAGTGTCCTCTTTGACATTTAAAAGGGCATTTTTGACAATAACCCTATTGGGGATTATTCCCCATTGATTCAAGTAGTTATCAAAAATGGTACTAGTCGGTTTAGTTTATGCTGCCAAGTCTATAAAGTTTCACAGCAGCTTTACAACAAAATTAAAACATCCAACTACATAAAAAATAGAACATAACATTAAAACCTAGAATAAGGACATGTACAACATTAAAAAGTTCACAGTGCAACCAACCAAACCCATTAACATCACATAAATCCAATCATCACTGTACGATCTCACAACAAAAACAATGTGGGATTATTAACTTTCCCACAGCACTCACTATATATTTTGTTTGAGAACAGATTTTTCTCTTGGATTAACAACTGAAACTACATGGCTTGATTGAGTACACGGCTGCATATTTCTCTTCTGTGGTTTTAGTCATTACTTCCTGCTTTAAACTTAATATTGACACTGGTTACATGCCTATGATTCTGTCCATCGAATGGAATACTGTAACAGCTTCATCTTCCACTTAACTATACAACTTCCAAAGGTCTTAATTCCTGTATGCAACTCACTGGGAATGTACAACTCTTGATCTGCAAGTTACAACATGGGAATTTCCTCCTGTGTGATGAGAGACAAATAAGGTGAGACAAATAAAAAGTAAGATGTTTGCAGCCTAGTGCAAGCCAAGCTAAGAGTTTTGTAAATAATCTGATCTAAAGTACCATATCAGTAAACATTTCTTCTTAAATAAGCCACAATTGGTTTCCAAATCATGGCAAAGCAAAATCAAGAAGACACATTGCTGCACAATGCAATTTATAAACTCAGTAACTATCTCTTTGGTATAATGCACACCCAATTTCAAAGCAACTGATGGCCCATCTTTATACATCTTTCCTTCAACCTTCAAATTCCTCGTGATGAACCAATAATAAACTGCGGCTCTATTCCAATCACGTCACTTGATACACCCCAGGAGAGCAACCACAAATGGCACAAAACTGAATTATTCTATTCTGACTCTTCAGCCATTTTCCTCTTGCTGCTTTCATGCTCACATATCCCCCATAGCTCCCATTACAATGCAGGGCAAAGACATATTCCAAAATGAATTTTGACTAGCTACCGTTCTCCTTTCCCTAAGGACAACACCTGCTTCTGCAAGCAAGCAGGTTTTCCTTGCCTGCTCTCTTAAAACTGTGCAATTGATCTTGAAGCCTTAATTCTGCTTTCAGGTCTACTGGCAAAACATGTAGTGCTGAGTCAGTCTCTTCTTCCTTGCCCACAATGATTAAGAATATTGGAATTGTTAGGCCACTTCCATCTTTTAAGGCCATAGTCTGGGGACTAGGCTATTTTAGGCAAATTATGTCAAAAGTTGCTTTTGATATTTAGGCAGTAAAATCTAAATGGCAGAGTTTACACAGCACAGAAACCTCTGCAGTTTTTTAAATGCTCTAACCATGCTTTTTCCTGCAAAGCTTTTCAAATTCTTTCAGTCCACGTTTGGATTAAAGCAGTGATTCCCAGCCTTTTTTTTTTTTTTTTGGCCATGCCCCACTTAACCATTTCTAAAATCCTGATACCTTGTGACATATAATTCTTACTTTACTCAAAAAGTGAACTCTACTCATGCAGAGGAAAGCCTAAAAGGCCATTAGCTTGGTTTAAACAAGGTTCAAATTACCCCCATTAAAAATCAAATTGCCCCCCTGTGGTGCCTACATGGACGCTAAATTCAGAGAATGGATTTTATTTTATTATTATTTTTAAAATATTTTTAATTCAACTTTTTTAAACTTTAAAACAGCATTTCCAATCTTTACAGCATTCTGATACCATTATCCATTCTATTTACAAATTCTTCAAGTTTTATAGTCTTTTATACATTACATGTTATACTACACATATACGTATATATTTATACACACACACCAACACACACACACATTTAACTTTTAGCGTTATTTGCTATATTTATGGGTATATATAGTTTTTTACTTTACTATGGTTCCTAGGTACTCTTTTATGTATTAATTTTGTGTCTAATTTCTAACCAATTGTACCACCTACTCCAGATCTTACAGTATTCGGTTTCCTCTCCATCTTTTAATTCCATGGTTAATTTATCCCGGAGAATGGATTTCAATAGATCCCCACCCCAAAGGACAATTGGATCCCGAGCTGCTGGCCCAACCCAGAGAGAAACGGGTCTGTCTGCAGGCTTAACCCCGCCATCCTCCTCGCCTGACACTGCAGTTCCCAAAGGGAGCCTTCCCACGCACCGCCGAGAGCGAGGAAAAGGCCTTCCAATGAGTTCTGGGTTGCAACCAGGACACATGCTCGGAGCTCGAACCCTCCTTGCAAGGAGACACGTGTCTACCTATCAAGTTTACCCTTTTGCACGCCCGTGTGCAAGTCAGGGAGGTCAACGCGGCTCTGGCTTCCCCCGCACAAAAGGCTCAGCTTGGGGCGGCTTGGAAGCGTTACGAACCCCGCGCGAACAAGCTTTCTCCCCCGGCTGGGCGAATGCAGGAAACGGCATTGCAGGAAGCAGGTTAGGTGGGTCGTGAGAACCCGAACACGCCTCCCCTCCCCGTGCAGATGTGCAACCCAGCTGCCATTCAAACCTCCTCGCCCTCCTCCTCCACCCGCCTCAACCCACTCGGGGCACCGAACCCCGCTCCGGAGTGGCAGCCTCACCTCGCGCAGTGGCTCAGGGCGCGGCTCCTTCTCCCGCTCGCCGCCGCCGCCTTCCCCGACAGCTCCACTTCCGTCTGGAGACGCCCAGTAACCCTCCCCACTCCACTTCCGGCGTTACCGGAAATACGCTAAGAGAGAGAGAGAGAGAGTGAGAGAGAGAAGGCAGGTAAAGAAGAAGACGCGCTAGGTGGGCGGGGCTTAAAAGGGAAATAGCCGTAGCCACGCCTCTCTCGCTCGTCTTAGGCTGGGGAGAGAAGGGAAAGGTGGGATTCGGGCGGAAGGTCTCTGAAGGCGAAGGCTCGAACGAAGGGCGGGGAGGAGGCGGGGCTTCCCCCGGCGGGGCGGGCTTTGGGCGAGATGGACAGTTAGGGTTTCCGCCGGGAAGCATGAAGGCGCGAAAGTTGAGGCATGCGGGGGGAGGTCTGCACGCCGAGCAAGGTTTTTCCGGTTGCAGGCATAAGTAGAGATGGTGCATAAGCTTCGCGCACCGGTTGGATTTCTGCCTGTCGTAATTATAGGAGTTCTACTCTTTGCAAGGCAGTGTGATTGAAAATACCTGCACACGGGAATCACGTACTTCAAATTCTGCCTGTAGTAATTGCAGGGATTTCACACTTTATTTATTTATTTATTTATTTATTTATTTATTTATTTATTTATTTATTTATATATTTTGTCACTCATGCACAAGATAACAGGAATAAGAATAAAGATGAATAAGAAGACAGGAAATGGGTACAAATAAATGGGGAGAGTGGGCAGGCTGGTATGCTTATGCACGCCCCTGCAATTGCAATCTCAGTGTGGCTGAAATGTACATAAATGCACGTAAACTAAACACATTTCGTCTACCTGGTGAATGTCTGCCTGTCATCATTATAGCTATGGAGTTCAAATACAGGTCGTCCTTGACTTCCGATCACAACTGAGCCCAAGATTTCTGTTGCTAAGTGAGACAGTGGTTAAGGCAGTTTTGCCCCATTTTCGTTGCCAGAGTTGTTCAATGAATCACTGCAGTTCTTAAGATAGGAACACGGTTGTTAAGTGAATCTAGGTTCCCCATTGACTTTGCTTGTCACAATGACCACAGGACACTGCAACCATCATAAATATGAGTCAAGTGATCATACAACTGCAGCAATGGTTGTAAGTGTGAAAAATGGTCCTAAATCCCTTTTCTCAGTGCCGTTGTAACTTTGGCCAGTAAATAAACTTGTAAACCAAGGATAACCTGCGCGCGCGCNCTCCTGCACCTCAAAAATAATAAGACCTCCCCGAAAATAAGGCCAAGCGCTTATTTTGGGGATCAAAAGAAAATAAGACCCTGTCTTATTTTTGGGGAAACATGGTAGGTAAAGGTAAAGGTTCCCCTCGCACATCTGTGCTACTTGTTCCCGACTCTACGGGACGGTGCTCATCTCTGTTTCAAAGCCAGAGAGCCAACGCTGTCCGAAGACGTCTCCATGGTCATGGGCCAGCATGACTAAACGCCAAAGGTGCATGGAATGCTGTTACCTTCTCACCAAAGGTAGTCCCTGTTTTTCTACTTGCATTTTTACGTGCTTTCGAACTGCTAGGTTGGGAGAAGCTGGGACAAGTAACGGGAGCTCACTAGGGTTAGCGGCACTAGGGATTCGAAATGCCGAACTGCTGACCTTCTCATCGACAAGTTCAGCATCTTAGCCACTGAGCCACCAGGTCCCTATCTACCTCTACTACTGAGGTGGAAATATTTTGCCTAAACATTGAAGTACAGTGACGATGCAATGCTTTTCCTTCCTAGCATCCTTGTGATGTGGTAGACACACAGGATCCCGAAGCATCCCACCAATTCCTGAGAATTCTGGGAGCTGAGGTCCTACACATGAAGTGTCCCAATATGGGACGGGCTGAAATAAGTCTTAAAATAAGCCAAGCGCGTGGACCGTCTGTAGCTACCTCTGCTCCCAAGAACGGCGAGAACCATCCGCGTGGCCAGCTGTGGATCCAACATCACGGCTGTGCTTTCACTCCACTTCCTGACCTCATTCTCCATTTTTTCTCCAGAGGATATAATTTACTTGTGCTTGAATGAACCGGTTGTTTCTTTCCTTCCATGGAGATGGAGGAGAACCATGCCTCCCCCCGCTTTTCACATACAGGCATTAATTTGGAAGCTGCCTTCCTTGCTTGGCCTATTCAAGAAGGCATTATCTGGGCTGCTTTTGTCTCCTTGTTTCCGCCCAACCATTCATCCGAATGGCAAGATAGCCCCCTCGATTCTTTTCCCACGCCAGAAACCCCTTTTCCTTAGCAGCTCCCTCAGTTCTGCTGGGTCCTTTTCCCTCCTCTTTTTTATGAGGAAGGGGCTTTTATTGAGCCAAAGGATCAGGCCATACACATCTGGGATGTCAGGCAGCTTTTTGCCCAATGGAGGACGAGACCCATAATCCGTGTACTTTTTACCAAACGAGAACCACCGAACGACCCGGGGGGGGGGGGCTCTATTGGTCAGGCTGCAATTGCATCTGATGTTGTCTGAGCTGAAGGAAATTTACTTCACTTCTTTTTAAAAGAAATCGTTAAAGTTATAATAAAGGTCAAATACAAATCTAAACAAAAACTTAAGAAAGTTAAAAGGAGAAAAAAGAGTGGTGGAAAAAAAGAAGGAAGAAGAAAAAAAATTCTTCTGACTTTTTTCAGTGCCATAGAGTACAAAAAAAAGAGTTAACAACCTCAACTTTTTGTGTTACATATCTAAGAGTTACAAGCCATTTCTATAACAACAGTCATTCTAGTTGTCAAAACCTAAAATCCAAGTTTCATTTTTATTTTGGTTCAAGTACAAAGTCCAGAAATGGTTTCCATATGGAAACAAAACTAGATAAATTATTATCTTCGGTTAAAACAGCCAATTTTGCCATCTCCGTCACTTTTACAATCCAGATGTCCTTCACTTCTTGATTCACATTGTAAGACGACCCTTTAATTTGCTTGCCTTTGACTCCAGATCCCCAACTGTTTTTCAGACTGTTTTGTTGGGAGGATAGAAAAAAGCATTTCTATCCGAGGGATATAATCCCTTTTGTTATTTTTAACCCTCCTCCTCCTCCTCCTCGCTCCCTGGCTCTCTTCCGTTGACATGCCATGCATGAGTCATTCTTCGTGCAATCTTCCCATCCACTTCTGAGAACGATGCTCTGTTAAGGCTCATGTCTCGTTCTTGAACTTTTGGCTTGCAAAGGCGCTGAACGGGTGCCAGAACGATGCTGAAGTTGTTGCAAAGAAAGGGAGCACTCTTGACTTTCAGAGTCCCTTTTCACCGTCTGGAAAGCAAAATATTCCCTTCAAGCCAAAATGAGACGCCTTATGAAACTCTGAACACCTTGGTCAACCAGACAGCAGCATCAATTTAAACAGCAGCCAAGGAATCCCAATATTAATCTTCTATAGATATATATATAAAAATGGCTGTGCGTGTCTACGTAAATTTCAGCATAATTCTGGAACGCCTTGAGCAATTTCAACCAAACTTGGTACACGGATTACTTACCCTCTGGAGACAAATACTGTGGGAGCAAGACATCCCTAACATCCCTCGGTGTGTGTGTTCTGCTAAGATACAGCCTGTTGTGCCTTATAATGACTTCTACTGTACTGCCATAAAATGGCTTCAACTGTGCAGTGTGTGAAGTCGCCTTGGTAATGGCTTCACAGTACTCCACAAGGAGGTTCCCTCTGGTAAGGGGGAAAACCCAACATTAGAAATTAAGGTGGTATCACTTTTCTTGACGCTTCTGGGGGCACAGGGAAAAGATTTGGAACTAAAATCAGGGCTTTTCCTGTCTAATAAAGGATTAGGATAAGTAAATACACAGACAATGCCAGGTTATCAGCTACTAGTTTTTTTAAAAATTGAAATGGCCTGTATCTTCTGTTCTCATGTTTGTTCACGTGAACTCACAGATAAGTTATGTTAGGTGCTATTATGTAAGATTTGGGCTATTTAAAAAAAAAGAAAGAAATATGATGCATATGCTCCAAATCACACATTGCTTAAAAAGGCTGCTGAAGTCAGTGACATTTAGGGTGGTCCATGCTGGCTGGGGAATTCTGGGAATTGAAGTCCACCAGTCTTAAACTTGCCAAGGTTGGACACCCTGGTGCACACCTTCATCACATTCTCCCTCAGTATGATTTTTTTTTCTAAGACAACACTAACCTAAAATGATACAGGTATTTTCTGTTCTCCAAAGATGGGAGGCATTCCAGGCCTCTGGTCATTGTGGTTGTGTCTTTTGCACTTTCCCCAGCTCTATTACATCTTTTCCAACGTGGCAATCAGAACTGTACCCTAGAGTCAACATTGCAATATTATTTTTGGTCCATTAACAAATGACTCCAATATGGAATTTGCCCTTTTCATTACTGCTACATGTTGAGTTGATTTCTTCCCGGAGTTGCCTTTTATGATCCCATAACTTTTTCCCCGATTAGTTTCAGATAATTGCGACCTGATCAGAACATATGCAAAACGGAGATAAGGTAGAGCTGTCTGCCTTAAATCGTTCTGGCGTTTGTTTGACTTCTTACACAGTTTTAAAGAAATATTTCTGGAGCTGCTGAAATCACTTATTTATTTAGTATATGCATTTATTTTCTGCCATTATTCTTTTTATAAATAACTCAAGGCAGTGACCATGCTACCTAATCAGGGGTGGGTTCTGGCTTCTTCTACTGCCTGTTCGCTCAGGGTTGTGCTTCACATGCGCTTGATGCACACTACACGCGCATCCACAGTAGTAAAAAAAACAAAAAACAAGATGGCGGTGCCCACAGAGCCACCAATAGACCCAGTTCTGGGGTGTGACAGGCCGAGTTATTAACTACTCGGCCGAACCGGCCTCTCTACCTAATATCCATAATATTTAATGCTTCCTTCTCCTCTTTTTCCCACAACAACCCTGTGAGATGAACTGGACCAAGAGGGAATGATTGGCCTAAAGTTACCAATTGACTTTTGTGCCTCAGGCAAGATTACCTCCTCTGATTGGCCCAAAGACACCCAGGTGGCTTCCATTACTAAAGTGGGACTAGAAGTCACACTCTCCTGGGTTCTAGATT